CGGCCATGACATATTTTGTAATATGATAAGTATGCTTTAAAAGGGACATGGTCAATTTGAATAGATGGTAAACATTGAACTTATCTTGTTTAAAATTTTTTATAGTATTTATTTACTTAATAATGTTTGACATATCCTTATGGAATATGTGATATGATCATATTATTTTTATGGAATGCATGATATCTATTTATCTAAATATATTGATGGGAAAATAGTTTAAGAAAAGGGGGATATTGGTCCAAGCACCTTCCATAATGTTAATGGCCCATCTATGGAATGAATGGCTCAGATCTCTCACCCCACAAGTCACCTTGATCAACAGTATAGATTCAATCTCATGAAAGAGGCAAACTATGGGAAACCCTAAAGAAATCCTAGATCTTATTTTTTCTATAAATAAGGGAGTTTTTTCCCATCTCTAAAATAATAACAATCTCTCTCTGCAATTCTCTCTCTCTCTTTGAGGGGCACACCCCACTCTCTCTCCTTTGAGTTTCTCTCTCTAACGTTCTCTATCCCAAAGTTTCAAAGGGGGGGCCACGCCCCAACTTTAGCTACTACTCTTTTTCTCCCTAGACCTAAGAAGAAACTAAGGGTTGTAGAAATTAGAGGGAAGCCTAAGTTAATTTTGGAGGTTATGGTTTTGTGGAGAATTAAGGGCGGTTGCATAGTTTGGCCGAAATCAGCTTTTTCGATTCGAGATTGAAGCTAGACCGCATATCCCGCTCCATTGGATGTGGTGACTCGGTGTGGGGTGTAAGAAGCCCGGTTGAGGTAATCTCCGGCATCTTTATATTATACTTACTTGTTCTTTATTTCATATTCTCAAACACAATATTAAGTTGTATAAATGACATCAAGTAGTTGAGATTTATTTTATTGATGTGTTATTTATTTTTGAAATTTCTATTGTTTGTAATAAGACCTTCTTTGAGTGATCTTGTTGCCAAAATTATAAGGGGTGATTATTATTAAAAAAAAAAAAATTGTATTTCTCTGACAAAAGATCACATATGTCTTTATTTCATTGGTATCATAGCAAAGTTTTACTTGATTGCCATTATGAGTCTTTTCTTATTTTTGCTTGAGAATAGAAATATAATGGCTGCTCATACCTTCATCTCTGAAATCCTGAAAACCAAAAGGTTTGATGGGACCAACTTTGCTTCATGAAAAAAAAAAAATCAAATTTGTGTATTATGAAGAAAACTTGCATGAGGTACTCTTTGAGGACCGACCTCTTCGTCCAACTGACGACTCATCTCAAATAATCAAAGTTGAGTACGCCAATTGGAAGAGGAGAAACTTAAAATGCAAGCACATTCTTTTATATGCCATGACTAACTCGCATGCTGCTGAGTACGAGTCAATTTATACTGTAAGTGAGATTTTTGATAAACTTGAAAGAGAGTATGTTGAACCCTCTCTCATGAAGCAAACTATGGCTATGAGAAGGTATAATGATTTAAAAATGGTAGAAGGTACCAAGTTTGCAGATCATGTGCACGTGTTTCGTGCCCCAGTCTGAGATTTGGAAGATACAAGCATGAAGCCCAATGAATCTATACAAGTGATTCATTTAATGAATTCTCTTTCTAATTTATGGGAGACTTTCATATCTTCTATTTTTGCTAGAAGAAAGGCACCAAAATTGAAGGAACTCATCATGACTATCAAATTTGAAGAAGAAATAAGGAGTTCAAGGCAAACCCCAAGGTATGCCATGCATATGGTAAAATCTCAACCATCTTTTAAATTTAAGAAATGAAAATGAAGAAATACTTTTGAGAAAAAAATATATTTCAAAAGAAAAGATTTTGGAAATAAAGTAGCAAAGAGAGAGACTCGAACTTGTTTTATTTGCAAGAAGGTGGACCACATAGCCAATAGTTGTGGGTTCAACAAATCTGGTAGAACTAATAAGGAATTAGCATGTGTGGTTTTCGAGTCTATACTAGCCGACCCCAAGGGAGCTTCTTGATGTCTTGACTCGGGGACTACGACCCATGTCACAAACACCAAAGAAGATTACCGTTCTTTCACTCTCAAGGGGCTAGGACAGTAGGATATTTATATGAGAGGAAATCAGAAGACCGATGTACTTGGAGTTGGAGATTTTGAGCTAAAACTGAAGAGTGGGAGCACGTTGATCCTAAAGCAAGCACTTTATGCACCTGATATGAGGAAGTGCTTGGTTTCGGTTCCTAAGATGTCTATGGCTGGATTCTTAACCACTTTCATTAGGGAGAAAGTGGTGGTCTTGAAGGGAAAAGATGTGATCATGACTGAACGACTTGTAGACGGGATATTTACTATTGAAATAAAAGAGAACGTTGTTTATGTCTCGTCCCCTAATGAATTAGATGCTACCCTATGGCATATGAGGTTATGACACATTAACACCAAATGAATGGAAAGATTAAAAAGGGACGAGATTCTTCAGATTTATAAGGGAGATTTATCGAAAGTGTGCGAGTCTTGTGTGTAAGGAAAACTAATAAGGAAAAATACCACCAAGGCAAAAAGAGCTACTAGCGTTTTGAAAATCATTCATAGTGATATATGTGGACCTATAAATGTGACTACCAAAAGTGAAAAAAGATATTTTATCTCTTTTCTAGATGACCACTAGCGATATGGTTATGTGTACCTTATTCATGCAAAATCAGAAACCCTAGAAAAATTCAAAGAATATAAGGCCCAGGCAGAGAATCAAACCAACCTGAAAATTAAAGTCCTTAGAACCGATAGAGGGGGAGAATATTCATTTGACTTTTTCAAAGAATTGTGTATTGAAAATGAGATCATCCATCAGTACATCATGCCTTATACTCCTGAATAAAATGGTGTAGCTGAGGGAAGGAATATGACCTTAGTGGAAATGATAAGGAGTACGATGGGCCATGCAAATCTCTCATTGGAGTTTTAGGGAGAAGCCGTATTTACGACATATTACATCCTTAACCGAACTCCCACAAAAACTGCCCCACTTACTCCTCACGAAATTTTCATAGGTCGTACTCCTTCCCTTGATTACCTGAAAGTTTGGGGTTGCTCAGCCCATGTCCTTATCCCACATTAAAATAGAACCAAATTGCAACCCAAAACTGTCAAATCCATTTTCATTGGTTACTCAGATCATGGTAAGGGGTATCGATTCTACAACCTTGAAACAAATGCGGTTATAGAAAGTCATGATGCTCACTTCTTCGAGGAAGAGTACCTTGAAGCAAGGGTGAGTAAAAAACAAGTCGACTTTTATGAGAAGACCCAAACAAGGATGTAGTTTGAGATCATGAACCTGAAACTTCTAA